GTTTAAAATGAGCTAAACACGAGCTAAAATGAGCAGAGCAGAGGCTAAAACAAACAGAACTGGGGCTAAAATGAGCAAAAGAGTTTAAAATAAGCTAAGCACGAGTTAAAATGAGCAGAGCAGAGGCTAAAACAAACAAAACTGGGGCTAAAATGAGCAAAAGAGTTTAAAATAAGCTCAACACGAGCTAAAATGAGCAGAGCAGAGGCTACAACAAGCAGAACTGGGGCTAAAATGAGCATAAGAGTTCAAAAATAAGCTAAACACGAGCTACAATGAGCAGAGCGGAGGCTAAAACAAACAGAACTGTGGCTAAAATGAGCAGAACTGAGTTTAAAATAAGCTAAGAATGGAGACTAAACTATCTAAAGCACATGATGAAATGAAGTACTTAAAATAAGCAAAGTAGATGCTAAAACTAAAATTATACTACAAATGCTAAAATAACCAAAATAGAAAAGCAGCTTAAAGTAGCTAAACAGATGCTAAAGCTATAATTGGCAGAACAGTAGCTGAAATTTCAAATTGTTGCTACAAGAAGCAGAATGGTAGCTAAAAGCTAATTGTAAGAAAATGACAGCTAAAACTTAAAAGTGGCAAAAAAAGTACAAAAATATAGCATAAGAAAAAATATAGAACCAGTTTGCTGAGTAGATTTTTAAACAGAACTGTTTTTAAAGAGCCAGATTATACCCTAATGTGTTTTTATAAGTAAAATATTTAAAGTAAAATATTTAGAAAAATATTAAAGTTACTCAAATCAAAAGTCGTAGCACCCATCTTCTGAATGGTTTTGACATATGAACAGCTAAAATAATAAAGTGTGTAGAAGCAGCTAGGTTGGAAAATTGATAATGAAAAGCAGGAAAATAATGCTGACTCAGTATTCACACCAATATACAAAGACTTAAAAAAAAAAAAGGATTTTTATACGTATTAAACCGAGACAAGTCTAAGTTAAGAACGGGTTTTGATCTGAACGTACTGAAGGCCTTGATTTTCTTCTGATAATCCCTGAAGCAATGCTTCTTTAGATGCATTTAAAATCTCCACGGAGGTGTTGTCCTTCATGCTTTCTTCATCGCTGGGAAAAAATAAAACAAAGTACTCCATGAACAGGAAAGACGCACAGAATAAAAAAGTGCTGCAGTGACTACATCTACGACTATATCGGCATAAAAAAAAAATCCAAAAGGACCGACCTGTAGTTGTCCTGGACCCACATGAGGATCTCGTACATCCTCTCTCTGCAGACCGGTGAAGGGTGAGAGATGAAAGCGGTCACGGATCCCAAGAGCTCCTGAAGCTCAACCGGAGTCAGCCGAGCCGTGATCTTATGGATGATGTCCAGACATGTCCTCTGCCTCGCTTCATCCCTGAGGAAAAAAATCCTGGTTTATTCTGCCGCTCGTTTGCAAAATAAATCATGATTTGCTGGTGGAAAGGTTATGAACAAATATCTTACCTGCTCTAGATAGCGATTTTATTGACTACTTTTTGAAGAAATGGGAGTGTAATTCTGACAAGAAGCTAACAGCTAGTCTGAGTGAGGCCAAGAACAAAGTGGATTCTTCAAAAAACTCCAACCTCCTGAAGTTTGTAGCAGTTCTGAAGACTCTTGAGCATTATTATCACATTACACATTTATTTACATAGGATTTTATGGTTTGCAAGAACAAATAGTGGCATTAGCAGCTAGCTGTAGCACTTCCAGAGTTGGCCAAGTAGTGCAGTCTAGATTTTCACTGTCCAAAATTTTATTTTCAAATAATAAAAATCTTTAGTTACCTGCGTGTAAGCACTTTGTGTGTTTGTATGGTCCAATGGCTAGTCCTTGGCCCCACAACAATTAGCCATTAGTAGCTAGTGCTTGGCCCTGCTGGGGGACTACCTGTTACTGGCTAATCAAAATGGTCCAACAACCAGTCCTTGGTGCCACAGAGACTAGCAGTTATTGGCTTGTCAATATGATCTAATGGCTAGTCTTTGGTTTAGCTAGGACTAGCCAATATTAGCTCATCAATATAGTCCAAATGTTAGTGTCTGGCATCCTTAAGACTAGTTATAACTGTCTAGTCCTTGGCCCCGCTAGGACTAGCTGTGAGTAGCTCGTCAATATTGTCCAAGGACTAGTCTTTGGCCTCACTAGGGTTAGCAATTATTGGCTAGACTAGTCATTGTTGGTTAGTCGTTGGACTTGCTAGGACTAGTTGCTAGCTGTAATTTTCTTGTCAATATGGTCCAACTGCTAGTACTTGATCCACTAGGACTAGCCATTATTGGCTTGCAAGATATTATTTGTTGGTTCTGGCTTTGCTAGAACTAGTTGTAATTTACTCGTTGACATGGACCAGTTGCTAGTCCTTGGTCCTGCTGGGATTAGTGTTTTTGGCTTGTGAATTTGGTCCAAGAGGAGCCAAGAAAGTGCCTCCTGGCTGCGCTAGAAGTGCTATGGCTACCTGCTGCCGCCATTTGCATTTAAACATAAACCCAGAACAAATGTGTCACAAAAGCCTCACAACAACATTAAACATTTATAAGGTTTACCTTTATAAAGTAGCACAACTCTCTTTTGTCTTGGCCACACTGGGCGTAGCCATTAGCTTGTCAGTCTGGATACAAACTATTTCGACGTAATTTTGAAAGAGCCATCTACAACAGGTAAGATAGTTATTGTTCATAATATTTCTACAAAACTATGCTTCTCCTTTTAATGTTGTGTTTGATGTTTTGTTCCATTCCATGGGTTTGGAATGATCAACATTTTTCCAGGAGTATAAAATAACTTTTTAATATTACTGTAGCACGGAAGGAACAATATATATATTTTTAAATTAAACAGAGCGATAAGGAACGTGTGAATCATGTCTCGGACTCGCCTGTGGCTCATCATCTGAGTGAATCCTGTGGTCTTCAGATGCAGAAAGATGTCCGGAATGACATCAGCTCGACTTAAAACGCACTCCAGACAAAAAGTCTTTAAGAGGCCATGCAGCTTTGGCAGCAGAAAGAACACGTGGTTCACAAACCTGAACAATAAAAACATTTAGGTCAAAGACTGCTTTAAAAATGAGCACCGCACGGACAAGAACCCTTGATAATCTAAGACGATCAAATACGATCAGCTCACCGATCCATAAAGGGAGGAAAGTGTTTGGAGACTTTGTTTAGGCAGATGATGAACTTATCATCCAGATCTTTCTTCTTTAAGTTTGTTAGTTTTGTTGCAGCAAGACTGAGGAGCTCTTGATGTTGCTGAATTATTAAAAAACAACAATTAATTAAAGGTAAGAGATAGCTGTTATTTAAACTGTTAATTAAAAAGAAACCCTACGTTGCCCGCTTCGGCTGTATTTTTCAGGACGAGGCCGATAATTTCAGCTGCAGCCGAGTAGACCTCTTTGTACCTGATGAAGGACACGTTGTTGGTGAGCGACTGGATGTACCTGAAAACACAAAACTCTTTTTAAAGATTTCCCTTCAAAACAGGAAGTGAGCTGAAAATCCCACCTGCACAGTTCAACTCTAACAAACGACAATTTTAATTTAACGTGATTTAAGATGTTTGAACCAGAAAATAAAACTATAAATCCTTCAGGTGACAACACCTAAAAAAACCTGCATGTAAAATGTCTCATTACAGCTGAGAAGCCGACCACGAGGTGAAAGCTAAAAAAGAAGCAAAATGCTAGCTAAAATCCACTCGTAGCAAAACACTTGCTAAGACCAAAAAGTGACAAAAAGTTAGCTGAACACTAAAAGTAGAAAAATGGCTAACAAAAACGTAAAAGCAGTAAAGCAGAGCTAGGAGCTAAAAGCTACAAAAAGCTAGTTGAAAACTAAAAGTAGCTAAATTCTAGCTAAAGTAGCAAAAAGGCAGCTAAAACATTTAAAGGGGAGCTGAAAGTTGCAAGGCTATAACTGAAGGATAATGTAGCAAAAGTGAAGCTAAAAGATAAAACTACCAAAAGGCTGGCTAGAAGTAGCTAAAGGCTTGCTAATAACTAAAAGCAGCAAACAGTTAGCTACAAGTTAATGTAACAAAAAGCTGGCTTAAGTAGCAAACAAGCAGCTAAAATAGCATACACTAGCTAAAAGCACCAAATGTTAGCTAAAAGTTAAAGTAGCAAATGCATAGCTAAAATAGCAAATGTGTAGCTAAAAGCTAAAGAAGCAAAACACTTGCAGCAGTTAGCTAAGAACTAAAAGTAATACAACAGTGACTGAAGCTGAAGGGTGTCAAAAGGGTGGCTAAAACCTAAAAGGTAGCAGAGTAGCAGCTAAAAATAAAAAAAAATATCAAAAAGTTAGCTAAAAGATAAAAATGGCAAAACAGTAGCCAAAAGCTAAAAATGAGCAAACAAAGACAAAAAAAAAAGCCAGCAGCTGAAGCAAATTTCAAAGAGAACATTTCTGTATTTCTATGGGAAAAATATTTGTAAAGTTAAATATTTTGAAAAGTAAAAATTTACAAATATCAGCAGCACTCATCTCCTTTAAAAGCTGAAGGTTTTGACACACTAGCTGCTAAAATAGCCCAAAGTATGCAGAAGTAGATTGTAAAAACATACAGAAAAAAACAAACTGGACATCAACCGTTGACACAGGTGGTACCTGTCGTAGTCGATCCCACAGGAAGCTTCGTAGGCAGGCAGATTATTGGCCAGGATGATTCCCAACAGCTGGAGTCCAACAGAATTATCTTTGCTGTTTGGGTCGGTGCCACAAAACCGCTCGTATATTAAACTAGGAGGGGAGGAAAACAGAAAAGATGTATTGAAACTCTCGGAAAGTCAGGCCAAATCAAAATGGCTGCCAGGATTTTAGTTTTACAGGTAAGGCACATTACCTGTACGGCACATGCAGACAGTCCTTCCAGCACTCCACCAAGGTGCGAATGATCTCCAGGTTGTGGCGAAAAACGGCTCTTTTGGAGTGGAAGCTGTGCTTCATCAGAAACTCTAACAGGCGGTTGGCAAGGACTTCATCTCTGGGGTTTCCCTGGAGGAGAACAAAACGTACGATGTGTCAAAAACTGGGAACGCACAGATCGTGAAACCGTGTCAAATGGCCAAGCTACTCTATTTTCCCTCCTACGACATATACTTTATTTTCCCAACAATGGTCTATAATTACTATTTATGCATCGTCTCTGCTTTTCTTGTCTTCTCAAAGTTTTCCTGACAGAAACAGATCTATTCTCTGATGTAATAACGAAACTCATTAAATCCCAGAAAGTTTTTTTTTTTTTTTTTTCCCAGACGTGTGACCAACCTTGGGTGTGACCAGGCTGGTCCAGGACAGAACCGTCACCACAACATCCACCACCATGAAATGGATCCCCTCTCCTCCGTTGTTCCCAGACACAACGAGCTGCAGGAGTGGCCCGAGCCAGTGCTTGGCAAAGGGACGAAAAACCTAAAAACAACAAATAAATCCAGGAAGAAAACGTGAACAAATGTGAGGTTAGGTCTTTAATTTTTAAAAACTAGAGTAACCTTCACCTCCTCTGTGTTTATGATCAGCTTTGAGATGAAGAGTCGGATGTTCAGAGGCGTGGTCGGATTCACCAACTTCCCGTGCAGAAACTTCATCCACGGAGGAAGTTCAGGAGTCGGACATCCCTATTTATCAAAGAGGAAAACATTTCACGCTAAATAAATGTCATTTTTCGGTAAGAATGCAGAGTAAATGCTAAGGGTTGGGTGGCTTTGATGAAATCTGAGCTGAGCAGCTAAAGATGAAAAAAAAAATCAAAAGACAAGATAAAAGCTAAAAAAAAAAAAAAAAAAAAGCAGCACAACACTAGTTAAAGGCCAAAAAGTATCAAAAGGCTAGCTAAAAGCTCAAAGTAGCATAATAACTAGCTTAAAGAAATAAGAGTTCTGAAAAGCTGAACTTATAAAACCATAGCTAGAAGTATCAAAAATCTAGCTAGAACCTAAAAGTAGCGCAACAGTAGCTAAAAGCTAAAAATGCACAACACTAGTTAAAGCCAAAAAGTATCAAAAGGCTAGCTAAAAGCTCAAAGTAGCATAACTAGCTTAAAGAAACAAAGAGTTCTGAAAAGCTGAGCATGAACTTTATTAACTTATAAAACCGTAGCTAGAACCTAAAAGTAGCACAACAGTAGCTAAAAGCTAAGAGCAAAAGGCTACCTTCCAGCATCAAAAAGCTATTTGCAAGCTAAAAGTAGCAAAACGCTACATAAAGGCTAGAAACGGCAAATGCTAGGTAAAAACTAAAATTATCATAATGCTATGTAAAAGTATCAAAGAGCAACAGGCTAGCTAGAAGCTAAAGGAAAAAAAGGATAAAAGCTAAAAGAAGCAAAAGGCTAGTTAAAAGCAACAATTATCAAAAGGGTTTTTTGTATGTTAAAAGTAGTAAAACAGACATGAAAAGCTAAAATGAGCAAATGCTACTTAAATATCTAACAGCATTAAAATGCTATCTAAAAGTACAAAAGGAAACAGGCTAGCTAAAAGTGAAAGATAGCAAAAGCCACTGTAGATAAAAATTAGCAAAGGGCTATCCGGAGCTAAACATTGCAAAAGTCTAACAACTAAAAAGTAGTAAATCTAGTTAAATCTAAGAGTAGCAAAACTGGAGCTAAAGTTAGCGAAGGGATAGCTGAAAGAAGAAGAAAGTAGCTAAATGAGCAAAAGGTTAGCTAAACGTTGCAGGACAGTAGATAAATGTAACAAAAGGTTAACAGGAGCTAAAAGTTGTAAAAGCTGGGCTAATAACAAAAAGTAGCCAAAGGAAAGTAAAATTTTAAAAGTAACAAAATGGTATCTTAAGTTAGCAAAAAAGATACCTAAAAGTAGCAGAAGGCAGCTAAAAATAGTATAAAGATAGCTAAAAGCTAAAATTAGCCAAAGATAAAATTGAGCAGAACATATTTCAAAGAGAACAATGTTTCTGAAGGAAATAAACTGATCTATTTGTATTTGTAAAAGATTTCTAATAAAGCTAACTATTTAGAAAAGTATAAAAGTTGCAAAAACCTGAAGTCGCATCACCCACAATTATACAACTAATTATATTTGATATATAAATGTAGTTATAAAACATTAGTTGTTTTGATGTGGAGCTTCAAAATAAAAGCGGCGACCTGTTCAGTTTTGGGGGTTATGTTGTTCCTCTGCATGTGCTGGATCAGACCGGTCATGGCGGTCATGCATTCATGCTGGTTCAGCTCGTCCATTTCTAAGTCCACCATGGCGTCCTGGGAGGGACTTCTGTCCTCGGTGGGACTTCTGTCCTCGGTCTCCTAAACACAGACGTAAATAAATCAGGCTGGCATGTTCTCGATTGTTCTCCTGACCTGGAAAATGTTTTCTCCACAAAAACTGGAAGCGTAAACGTAGCAGAGGATTTTCACAAATATCCGGAGCGGTCCACACGAGGCTGATCAAGGACAGAGTTTAAAGACGGAGGACTAATTTAAGACTTTTTACCGCGGCTCGTTTGCGTCCTGCTGGGTTTTGGGAGCTGAAGGAGAAGCTTTGAACTCCCGTGGAGAAGTCGAACTGACTCATCTCCTCACTCAGGCTGCCGTCGGCCATGTAGGACTGGGAGGACAGGTAGACGGGTGCCTCTGTGGAAACGACAACAAAACTCAGATCCTGGTCTTTGTGTCATCAAGAGCATCAACCCAGTCGGACCTGAGGAGCAGAGGAACTGTAAAGTTCTGCTGCTCAGGTCTGAGCGAACGCAGCTCGAACAACAGGAACTGATTCTTTCAGCTAAAACAAAACAAATAACAGCTGAAGGCAGGTGAAGAATGGATTATTAACTGAGCTGAAACATTTTAAACAAACAGAACAGAATCTAAAATCACCTAAACTGGACCTAAAAGCTAAAATGAGCAAAGCTGAAAACAGGAGCTTTAATTAGCAAAACGGTAGCTATAAGATAAATTAGCAAACCATAGATTGTAGCAAAAAATGAGCAAAACAGCAGCTAAAGCAAAAAATTACAAAAACAAAAGCGAAATTAGCAAAAACAGTGCTAAAAGCAGACATTTGCAAATCAGCAGCTAAATGCTACATTTAGCAACATTGTAGCTTGAGACTAAAATTAGCAAACTTTGGATAAGAACACAAATGAGCAGCTAAAGCAAGAAAGTTGGCAAATTAGCAGCTAAAATAGCATAGCTCAAATGAATAACCAAACCAAAACACAAAAACAGTAGCTAAAATTTGAATTAGCAAAACCATAGATTAAAGCTAGCATTTGCAAAACTGTAGCTAAATGCTACCATCAGCAAATCTTTAGTTAGAATTAATCATTAGCGAATCATACATCATGGGAAAAATGCTCTAAATAGTAAAAAAAAAGCCAATTTGCAGCTAAATCATAAAAATAAAAGCTAAATTGCCAAAAACCATAACTAACACCTAAAATTTACAAAACTGCAGCTAGCAAAAAGCCTAAAAGTATCAAAAAGCTAGTTAAAAACTAAAAGTAGCAACATTCTCATTAAAAGCAAAAACTGACAAAACTTAGGCTAAAAGCTAAAATTAGCAAAACCATTGCTAATGGCAGAAATTGGCAAAACTGTTGCTAAAAATTAAATTTGATAAAACAGTAGCTAAAGGCAAAGAGAAGCCAAAGGGAAAAAAACAAAATAAAGTAGCTGAAAACATTTTGGTAGAAATTATAAAGATCCAAATTAATTTCAGTGAAAATATTTATAGATACATTCTAATATTTTGATAAGTATGAAAGTTACACACAAAAAAAAGCTCAGCACCCATCTCCTGAATGAGCCGAACGTTTTGATACAAGAACAGCTAAAAAAAAGCACCAAGTATGCAGAACATATGGAAGAAATTCTAAACTGGTCAATAAATGTTCATTAACTGCACAAACAACAATAAAGTGCAAAGATACTGTGATTAAAAAGAAAACCATTGTTCAAAGATGGCTGTAATACCTCCGCTCTCCTCGCTAATTTCTTTACGAATCATAAAATATTTCTTCTTCCTCTCAAGCGGGACCTAAAGAAAGGAGGAAAACATTAAACAAAAGATATTTGATAATGAATATTAGCTGTTAAATTAAAGAGCATACCTCGATTTCAATGGGAAAATTGTAGATCCTTCGAACATCGACGATGTTTTCAAGAATAAACTGATTCTGGATTAAAAAATAAACAAATCAGCGAGGCGATCTAAACTCGTTTAGTTTTTTTTTTTAAGATGGCAGCACCTTCTCCGGTTTCTCACTGAAGAGGAAGCCCTGGTAGAATTTGGGCTCGTTGAAGCTGCGGCTGATGACGGCGATGCCGCAGTTGTACGCGGCGCAGTGATAAAGCCTCCTGAGGTCGAGCAGCTGCGTCTCGCCCGCCATGTTCTCCGTGAAGGCCTCGAAACACGACCTGCGTAGGAAAAATATTTAAAAAAACTCGCTAAGACTCATTCGTAACAATAAAAACAAATACTTTTTGCAAAAACGCACTTGATCAGAGCTTTGGACAGCTCGTTTCCCTCGGTTCTGTCCGAGCGACAGTACACCTGATTGATGCGGGACTCCTTGGAGTAAACCTCCTCCTTGGGGAGCCGAGCGTACAGCAGCTCCATCAGCTTAAAGCAGCCGATCTTCTTCAGCAGCTGAACCTCAAAAGCTGCTTCGCTGGACTGAAACGTACAAACAGATGGCTCGTCGCTCAACATTTTATTGTAATTTTAACTTGATAAACGATTCACATTTAACCCTTAAAGGTCGCATGGGGGGAAAAATATCAATAATCAGCAATACGTTTATATTTGTTTGTTTTTATTTATTTTGGTGTTGTCAATAAACAACTGGTTCTGCCTTTAGGGTGTCCATTGAGAAAAAAACAAAAACATATTGAAATCCATTATAAATGCATTTTTTGGATCCTATATTTATAACACCTTAAAATAACGCATTTAATTAAGTTTTTAAATAACAGCCACAAAATAATAAACTGTCAATTAAAAAAATACTAAATTGGGGAGTTTTGTCAAACTAAAAGCCCATAAGGGGGTAAAATTGTAAAAATTGTTCAAATTTGATATTTTTATTTCAGGCTAAGATAGCTTTAAAAGACTGACTAGTTTATTGTTAATAAAGATAATAGAAAATGTTGTGGTGGTCAAAATTCCTCCCCAGGAACAGTTATTGTCATAAAGGACTGCCCCTGTAGGGTCCTTTATCTGCATCTGCATCTGGTAGCAGCCAAACTGACAAAGACCATGCAGAATAATGTAGTATTTTAATTCTACAGCAGCGAAAGCTGTGTAGTCTCTGTAAGTAGGTCTAGGAAAACAAAACAAACAAAAAAAAATTTGTATCTGATATCAGCCAAAAATACAATATCGTGCATCCCTGGTTAAAATCTAATTCTTTTACACATTGCATGGTTATTCCTGCAGAAATATTAAGATATAACTGCAGGAAGTGTCCACAGGCAGCACTGAAAATGCTACAGCTAGCTGCTGCTGAAGCTTTTTCCATTTGTAAAAAAAAAACTATGACCAAATCACGCGACATTGACGGCGGTGTGGAAAAGTTAATAAACAATTAGTTGCATGAGCTGCTACGGCTATTTTGAGACTGAACAAGCTATCCAGAACAGGTAAGATGTTAGCTATTCACAACCCCTGCACAGATGACTATTTTAAAAGAGCCGAAGCCTTGCTTTAATCTTCAAACCTTGGTGAAACGTCTCTGCAGGAGGGCGATTATGTCGCAGACGTTCGCCTCGAAGAAGTCGCTCAGGGCCTTGGAGCTGCAGTGGGAGGCCATGGGCAGCAGGACCCGCTCCGTCATGGCCTGCAGCGTTGAGCTGACCGGCACGTCGCCCTGCTGGATCGCCGTGTGCACGGCGCACAGCAGCTGCAGCTGCCGCGCACCGCTCGCCCTGACAAAGACAGAGCGGACACGATAAACGCCTGCCGCAGCCTGACCCTCGGCAGGAAGGACTTTTACTGACCTCTTTGCTATCCTTTGGAAGCAGGTCTGGAACTGCTCCTCCATGATGTGCTTCCTGTCCCGGCACAGAACTCCTGCCAGCAACTGGAGCAGAAGCGGGCTCTGGGACAGTTCCAGGGCATCCAGCAACTACAAATCCCCAGAAAACGGTGGATCAGGTGGTTGTAAAGAAACGAACGTCCATCCTTACGGTGCTCCGGATGTCTGCGTTTACCTTCTGGACACAGTCCATGTAGTTGTTGCGGTGCAGGGAGCCCTTGGCGAACTCGTCGGACTGCATGGGGAAGTGGGACGCTATCAGGGCTTCGAGGGCCCTCTGCAGCTCTGCCAGAGGCTCCTCTTGGAGGCTTGTGAAGAAAGGCAACACCAGCAAGGCCTGACTCTGAGGAAACAGACAAAATATATTCATGCATAAACTCAGTTTTGTGGTTTTTTTAAAGACAGAAAATGTAAAAAAAAAAAAATCAAAGTTACCTTGAAATTCAGGTGCAGATTCATGTCGAGCAGCAGTGAAGTGAAGGTGGAGAAGACGGGCCGGAACGCTGCATGGTTCACATCGGAGCAGACCGAAGAGTCAATCTAATCAGACCGAACAAGATTCATCAAATAAATCAGAGTTGGACCTAAAGAGAATTTTCAGACACTCTGAAGCAAGGAGAGCTGAAATGAGGCATTACTCCCCGGGACGGGGCGAGATATTAGGGTCAAGAGGCGAGACGAGATTTTAACAATATTTTCAATCAATTTTTTTTTATCCTGAAAACAGCTGACTGGAATCTTTCCAGATCTTAGAACGTGGTCCAACTCGTTTAATAAACAGCCAAAATAAAATCCTGATCAAGGGCCAGCCTTATTTTTTAATATTTTCTCAAATAATTAAACAAACTTGTCCCCTTATTAACTGGTTTCTACAAAAAAAATGTTCTACTGAAGGCCATCAGGACAGCTAAAAAAAACCTGAATAAAATTTTAAACAGCTTCTAACATTTCACCATAAAATTAGAATAAAAACTAAAAATAAGGATTTAATACATTCAGGCAGACACTGTATCTGTGAACATTAGAGTCTCAGGACATTAGAGTAAAACTCCTTTGTGTTTTTTATTAGTATTCTCATTGTGGGGAAGGTCTTAACGAACGGTACAGTTCGAGAGGTTCTTTATTTTCTCGGCTGTAAAACCAACAAATGACCACGTGATCTGGTTCCATTTTAAACTAGAGAAAATGCAGTTCCTGCAAAAACGCAGAGTGAATGCTTATTGCAGAAGAACTTGCTGAAATTAGCTAAAACATGCTAAAATGTAGTTGAAATGGAAGAACAAGCCTAAATTAGCAGAATAAAGCTTAAAGAGCACTTGCTGAAATAGGTTTAAATAAAGCAGAAATTTGCACAAACATTAGGAAATTAGAAAAAAAAAGCTGAAATTAGCAAACAATGGCTGAAAAGTAGCTGAAAAGCAGAAACAAGCCTAAACTACCTGAAAAAAGCAGAAAGAGCTGAAATGAGTTAAAAATGTGAAATTAGCTGAAAAAGCTAAAATTAGCAGAATAAAGCTGAAACGACCATAACAAGCTGAAATTATCAGAAAGAAGTTAATTAGGCTGAAAGTGTAAAAAAAACCACAAACGTGAATTTATCTGAAAACAGACGAAATTGGCTTAAAACGTAGCTGAACAGGTAGAACAAGCTTAAATTAGTAGAAGAATGCAGAAAAAACATGTTTGCCAAATTACGCTGAAAGCGGAAATGAGCACAAAAAAGTGGAATTTATCTGAAAAAAGCTGAAATTAGCAAACAAACAAACAAAAAAAGCAGCTGAAAAGTAGCTAAAAAAAGCAGAAAGAAGTTTAAATTACCAGAAGGAAGTGGCGAGAGCACATTTTTGCTTAATTAGAATGAAAAAAGTTTAAATTACAGCAAAAAAAAAAAAAGAGTCAAATAAGCTGAAAAAGCTAAAATTAGCAACTTCTTTTGGCTTTTCCCCCTTCGGGGGTCTCCACAGCGAGTCATCCTCCTCCATCTCTGTTCTCTGCATCCTCTGTCCTCTCCATCTACCTCCATGTCCTCTCTTAACTGCATCCATATATCTCCCCTTTGTCTTACATAAAACAGCTAAATAGTATCTGAAATAGCATAACAAGCTGAAATGTGCAGGAAGAAGTTAGAAGCAGCACAAAAATGATCTGCTCAACAGGCTGGAGTGAAGTTTGCGTACGGTCCTAGTGCCTGACATGTTTGACCTGCCGCCACACTAACAATTTAAAATGGTGGGTGCATTTCAAGGAATAATATAGCCAAAGTCGAGAGACGAGGTTTTTTAGTTTGCGCGACAGTTTTCAACTCAATGAGAAATCAAGTTTTAATCTACACCTCTAGTTAAGAACAATTATCTTACCTGTAAAAGCTTTACGAACAACCCCACTTTAAATTGTCCAACAGACACAATAACTACCATTACTCAGGTAATGCTTCACCTGAAGGAGCTTGGAGAGCAGAAGAAGAGTGTCAGTTTTACTCTCCGAAGTGGCTGAGGGTCCCTCCCACCATGTCTGCAGGCTGACCCACCTCCTCAGCACCTTCTCCACCAGCTCCTTCCCCTGTGTCTTCCTCACAGAGCGCTCTCTGAAGCTGTGATCCAGCATGCCGTTCAGCAGCATGCTCACCTAAACCACACGGAGAACCCACTTGTTACCACCCTGCGGTCACCTGTAACGTCTCTTGACTAAACCTGAACTGAGACAACAAACTACCGTGGAGGGGTTCTGAGACGCAGCGTTCATAAGGCGAGGCACGGAGGTTGTCAGACTTTTCAGCAGCTTGGTGTTGACGGTCATCTGGAAGAGGCTGTAGAAGTACTCGCCGTGCGAGAAGCTCAAGAAGTTACGGCTGTGATCGCCGGATATTGGTACAGAAAGCATGATGGAGTTCAACAGCAAATCCACCAGCTGCTCACTCTGCAGAGACATTAAAAACAAACAAATACAACATGAGGTGTGTGCAGTTAAGGGTGCCAATGCATAATGCTGTGGGAGGAAACCGGAATACCCAAAGAAAACCCGCGCATGCACGGAGAGAACATGCAAACTCCACCCAGAAACATCCCTGGCTAGGATTCGACCCAGCAACCTTCTCGCTGAGAGGCAACAGCTTTACCAACTGCACCACCGTGCCGCATCAATAAACATGAGGATAATTATCTAAAATTGTACAACTGTGCATGTTTCTAATTTAACATTTGATTAATACATATTTGATGTGATTTAGACGAAAACACATAAATCTGTTGGCGTTATTTAACGTTACAGCCTGATGTTGCAATTTGTACATGACCTCTAAACTCTCATCTCGCGTCCTGTGTTTCTGTCGGTGTCCCCGTCCAAACTGAAAACAAAACTAAACACAACACCTGCTTCACATAAACTCCAATGTTATTATGAATCTGTGCATTAGGTTTACTAGGTTCAGATCAACTACTGACGCGCTCGCGCTAAAACTAAATCTGCTCATAGTCAACTCAACCACATTTGTTCAAAACCTGACCAACCTGTTGGCTGAGAGAAAAGGCAAGCTGAAGCAGACCGTCTGCTACTCTCTTGGTGTTAACGTCCAACGAGGGAAGCGCCTTCCTGTCGCCTCCAGGAGCTATGCCTTTATAGACCGCCATCAGAAGTCTGGACCCAACAGATTCGGTGTAGGCTGAATCCTTCAAGAGAAAACACACACACAGTGAATGTGTAATAACAGCCAAAAAATGGAAGACACATTTTGTGCTCATATTTGTACCTGGCTGTGCAGGATGGAGTCAAGGAAGCCAGCCCTGTGGATCTGCTTACAGGAAGAAAGCATCATTTCCATTTGGTTATGGTGGCTGCTCGAATGGTACAGGTCTACAGCACACAGATCCTCCACACTATCATGGCCAAAAAAAAGAAAAATATAACAAAAAGTTTTAGTTATTTCTAACATTAAATCACAGCTGCAGAATATTTCTTGTTTTCTTAAGAACATCTCACTACATCTGCAAACTTTACTATTTTAACTATTCATATAACAAAAGGTTTAGCATAATTGGGAATCTGACACTCCCCCAAATATGGGCGGGGCTTATGATATAAATCTAGCCCACATTTGGCCGTCCATGTCCATGCCAGTGCATAAGCCCTTATTGCTGATCTGATCTTTGTCCGTTTATGACACACACCTTAAAAGAACAAAAAAACAACAAATAAAAAGCAATTTATACATCAAAACCTATAGTTTGAACAGGAATAGTGTGCTATCCATGTATGATGTACAATGCACACCCCATTTTCCAAATTTTAGCTGAAACACTGGAAGTTACGCACCTTTTCCGTGAGATTTTTGTCCGTAAGTTACTTTCAAGGTGGCTGCGGTATGGCGAGTCCAGCAGAGCTTTGAGTAGGGGTACGCACACCTCTGGAAGGTTCTTCATCACTTCCACGTCAGCCATGTTGAACCCAACAGCCGCTGGCTCGCATACCACTGTCGCAGTCACCTCAAAGAACAGGGAGCAAAACAAATCTTGTTCCAGGAGCTGTGGATAAAAAAAACAAATAAAAAATCACATATCAGAATTTTCAAAGAAACTACAGAAATAAAGGTGCAAACGTGGAGAGCTGAATGACTGTAGACATTTGCTGAAACTGAGTTGTTAAAACCTAAAATAAGCAGAACACTAAATATCAAAAGTCTAGCTAGAAGCTAAAAGTATCAGAGCAGTAGATAATAGTAACTTATGTTTAGTCAAAAGTAGCAAAACACTATCTAGAAACTGAGTTGCTAAAGGCTGGCTAAAAGCTAAAAGTAGCAAAATGATAGCCAATCGTAACAATAGTCTAGCTTATACTAAAAGTTGAAAATGGCAAACTAAAAGCATTAAAAGGTTTGCTAGAAGCTAAAAGCAGCAAAAGCCTAAAATAGTAAGAGACTAGTTAAAAGCTGAAAAATAGCAAAATGCCAGCTAAATGTATTACAGCCTAGCTAAAAGCATCAAAAGGCTGGCTAGGAGCAAAAAGCTGCAAAAGCTAAAAGTTGCAAGAGGCTAGTTAAAAGCTGAAATGTAGCAGAAAGGTACAAGGACAACTTTAGCTAAAGCTAAATGTAGCAAAAGCCTAATTAATTACTAAAAATAGGAAAAAAAAAGACTGGCTAGTAGCATCAGAAGAGTATCTAGAAGCTAATAGTATCAAAAGTCTTGCTAAAAGTTAAAAGTAGCAAAAGTCTAGCTTAAGTGTTTCTTTCGGCTGCTCCCTTCTTCAGCGGTTGCTACAACGAGCGAACTTGCATGAAAGATTTGTTAATGGTTTTACGTCGGATGTCGGAAAAGTCTAACTATATCCTAAAAATACTGTATAAAAAGGATGGCTTAAATTGTCACAAGAACAAATAGTAGCTCAACGTAGCAAAACACAGGCTTAAGAGCTAAAAGTAGCAGAATGGTAGCTAAAAGCAGTAAAGGTCAGGCTAAAAGCGAAACTTGGCAAAAGCTAGAAGTTGTAAGAGGATAGTGAAAAGAAGCAGAATAGTAGCCAGTGTTTCTCCTTGGTCAATTGCCTTGGCAGGGCGCTCATGTCTTTGGGGCATTTGTCGACGGGTGGGGGGGATGCGTGAGAAGCGGAGCGCTAAAATATGTAGCTTCTTGGCTAGCGCAACTGTAATATGCACTGCTAGCTTAGCGCTACGTCAATGCCTGCAATTGGCGATGGCAGCGGGGGGATATTTTGGTAGGCAGGGCGCTTGGTTCTGTTGACAGGGTGGGGGTGCCCCCCTTGAATAACAATAGGGGAAACACTGGTAGCTAACAGAAAAGTATAGCTAAAAGTGTCAAAAGTTTCACTAGAAGCTAAAATTAGCAAGTTGTTAGCTAAAAGCTCAAAGCAGCTTAAGAAAATAAGAACAGAGCCAGTAGCTGAAGCAGATTTCAAATAGAACAATGTCTTGGAAGGAACTGAAAATATTTCCATGTTTGTTTATGGAGAAAAAAAACCCATAAGTAAATACAGTAAAAAGTATAAAAGGTGCAAAAACCAAAAAAATATTTGTACGCATCTCCTCAATGAGCTGAACGTTTTGACATTTGAATGACTAAAATACCACAAAGTATGCAGCTAGGTTAAAAAACAATTCTAATAATAGCAAAATGGTAACATTCACACAAAAATCATGGGTACCTTCCAGAACCCCTGGTCTCCTTTGACAAGAATCATGGAGGCGAACTCCAGCAGACGGACGATGATGGTGCACTTGCTGTAATTGTACTGGTCCACTTCTCTCGGGCTGAAGTGGGAGGTCTTCTCACCGAGAGAGAAACAGCTCTCTGCTGCTGTGAGTTCATGAGCTGCCAGCTCCGTCAGGAAGAATCGGGTCGCCTTCAAGAAGCTGGATTTGTCTTTTGAGTCTGGGACGTGTAGGGTAAAAAGTTATTCATGGAGCTCAATTAATGGATCATAATCATCTCCTCTCCAGAACTTACTGAGAATGTGCTGAGGCTTGACTATGTGTAAGCTGATGAAGGTGTTGTAGCAGTCCACAACGGCCAGCAGAAGGTCCATCCACTGCAGGGCGGCCCGCACGCTGAACGGGCCTGTCAGGTCCCTGAGCGTGGGCTGGGAGAGGAGACCACCCCCCTCAAACTGTGAGATCAGGAAGTCCGCATCGCGATCATTCAGAATCCCGTCCAACCACTGAGGCAGAGATTTCTTCCCTAACGAACAGACATTTTAAATCGGATGCAAAATTAAAGTAGCGTTGCTCTAAAAATTAAAAGCCAAACATTCACTGAGCTTTTCATGGCAGAGTTTTAAAAAGTTTTCACGCATTAAACCTTAAGATAAATGTACACAAATACAGGCAACACTGTGATATCTCGCATGACTTTTTCATCTATTTTACTCATTTGAAAATATTTTCCTCTTTTAAAAAAAAAATAGTTAAAAAACGCCGTATTCTGAAATCTGCTTCAGCTACTGGCTCTGTTTTTCTCTTCTTATGCTCCTGTTAGATTTTAGCTACAGCATTGCTGATGTTAATCTTTTGGCTATATTTTTTATATTTACTTTTAGCGACTTTTAAATCTGCTTTAACTTTTAGCTGCCGTTTTGCCAACTTAAGCTTTTAGCTGGGGTTTTGCTAATTTTAGCTTCTTGTTACTATGGTTCTAAATTGAAGAATTAAATGAGTCAAGACAGTTTTCCACTGTCTCAACTCTCCTCAGCTTCGCACGACACTGCACCAGTTAAGTGCCTCCCCACTGTTGGTAGCCACTTCCCTCAGCCCAGTTTTTGGAACCCCTTTGATTGATGTTCTAAGCAGACTGCTCTGATGGGCCCATTGTGACATAAGCAGGAAGCAGCCGTTGATTGGTCAGTGGAGCTACATCACTGGATGACCCACCTGGCAAAACTACAAACTACATCTGGACCTCCACTTCCACATCGCGTTGACGGACAGCACAATAAGTGAGTGCGTTTACCAAGGAGCTGATGATGGTGCAGCATGGCTATACCTTGACTTAGAAGCAGTCCCGAGATGAGCTAAGGAAACTGAAGTCCGATTCTAGGGTGGCTAAGGACAACGGGTGGACTGGCTTGAACACAATGACCAGTTACGACCCCGTCCACTTTGCATTGATGATCCCGCCCACTTTGCATTGACGATCCCACCCACTTTGCACTGATGATCCCACCCACTTTGCACTGATGATCCCGCCCACTTTGCATTGACAATCCCGCCCACTTTGCATTGACAATCCCGCCCACTTTGCATTGACAATCCTGCCCACTTTGCATTGACGATCCCTCCCACTTTGCACTGATGATCCCGCTCACTTTGCGTTGATGATCCCTCCCACTTTGCACTGGTGATCCCGCCCACTTTGCATTGATGATCCCTCCACTTTGCACTTATGACCCCGCTCACTTTGCAATGATGATCCCGCCCACTTTGCATTGATGATCCCGCCCACAGAGTGGGGAAACAGGTCAATCTCCACTGTAGTGCAAATCACTTCCACCTGAGAAGAACCAAGAGCCGAGCAGAGTCACAAGATGGCAAAGCGGCATAAGAATGCATTTAGACTACTCCAGGTAGAGAATGCCAGGATGGTGATGGTATTTTTGGGATCTCTACTGTTTTAAAAATATTATCCCACCACTTAGCCTCATATTCTTTGTGTTCAATTACAAACATTTGCTGAATTAAGCGCCAAAAGAGACAAATTAGCACGGACTGGTTGAAAATGACATTCATTGTTCCTGTTAGTTTCTGACATGAAAGGAAAAAGCATGCCATACGTAATGGATGGATCAACATATCTGTTCAGGAGCAGTCGGTGGTTTGGGTTCAGGGTGGTTGTCAGTCCATTCCCTCCAATTAAGTGTTTCGAACAGATGTACGTACTCCTGTTTACATTTATCTGGCCTAATCCAACGACCACATTTCTCTCCCTGAGCATTTGTCTTTGGAAACGGTGAGAATCAAATACCGTGCCTATGAGACTAGTCAGAGTATCGGCCATCACTACTGCAGGTCCCGTAGCAACAAAGTTTCTTAGATACAATTTTTCTGCTTTTTATTAGATTTTTTTTTAATCAGCACAAACCATCACTGTATTGTATTGTACTCTAAGTTCTGCTCGCCCGAAATCCGGGTTCTTACTGACGCCACACATTAGGAGCTATTTTTAGTAACCCTGACCAGCACTATTATAGATTTTAGCTATCCATCAATTACATTTACCAGCTACTTCCTTTCTCGGTAGTGGGAGTCACTGGTGGCCATATCTGAAAACCACTGTGCACCTTGGACAGGTTTTCAGATCTTGTTTTGCTTGTTTTAACTAACCAAGTCCCCCTGCACTCAGCGTTTGCACGGCATTTTAAGAGAACATGCTAATTTCTTAGCTCAAAATAAAAATCCACATCTTTTCTGAGCTTCCAGCACACCTGGGATGAGGGGAATAAATTCATAGAGGAGCTCCATGCACTTGTGGCGGCACTCGGTCTGCGGTCGGCCACATTGTTCCAGCAGCCAGAGGAGCACATCTGACAGACACACCTTTCCATCAGGTGGGAAACCCCTGGAACACGATGGACACGACACCACAGATGAAATGTAATGCTCAGTAATCTACAGTCTGCAAAATTAATAACCAAGCAGTTCATTTCACCGCCCTGAGAAATGACTCATTTTTAGAGCAGTTTTGATTAACTCTTAAATTAAAGATCTAAGGATCTTAAATATATTCATCTTCAAATTAAATCTAAGGCATTAATACATTATATAATACAGTAATTGTTACATATATATATCTAACCTTGGGATGCGCCTCTTTGCATTGTGCTGATTGAGAGCGGGGGCTTTGTGTTTGATTATTCTCTTCAGATGGTCAATGGCGCTGCAACACTGCTGCAATGACCCTGCAACACAGAGAGAAGCAATTATTATTAAAATGAACCATAAAAACAAGTCTAACCAGAGAAATTAGCATTTTCTGAGTGCTGAATGACTTTGCTGACAAAGACACAAGAAGCAGAACACTAGCTAAAAGCTAAAAAACAAATGCTAGCTAAAAACTAAACAAAGCAAACCAGAGTTGTAAAACTTTTTAAAGACAAAAATTAATCAATTATACCCTGGACATTTGAATATGCCATCTGTAATGTGGGTGTGAAAAAACATTTACCCATAGATCGCTCGTCTGAGTGTCCCAGAGCCAGACTTTCAACAAATATGACGAGAACCTCAAAGACGAACTGTTCCACCAAAGAGTTCTCCTCCCTGTGAAGTCAGACACAACACAGACTCTGATGAACGAGAAAAATATGTTAAGAAACACAAATGCTAACAAAATCAACTAAAGAAACAGCTTTTTCTGCTAAAAAGCAGATTGAATGTTGAGTTCTAAATGTGTTGATGGAACAGAGGCTAAAAAGAGCAGAAAAGAGGCCAAAATGAACAGAACAGTGGCTAAGATGAGCAAAAGTGGCTAAAGTTAGCAGATTTAGCTAAAATGTGCAAACCAGAGGCTAAAATGTGCAGAACAGTGGCTAAAACTAGCAGAACAATGGCTAAAATTAGCAGAGGTGGCCAAAATGTGCAGAGCAGTGGATAAAAGGAGCAGAACAGTGGCCAAAATGAACTAAACAGAGACAAATATGAGCAGAGTCGCTAAAATGTAAATGAGTCCCAAGGCTCAATGAGACTAACCTGTATAAATAAAGGTTGAATGGAAAAAAATGAGCCGAACAGTGTCTAAAATGTGCAAAACAGTGGCTAAAATAAGCAGGACAGTGGCTTAAATCAACTAAACAGTGGCAAAAATGAGCAGAGTGGCTAAAATGAGCAGAACAGAGGCTAAAATGAGCAGAACAGAGGCTA